TCTGGTGCTGAGATACCTTCATCTGCATCGATGAAAATGTTAACCCCCCTCCCGAGAGATTCAATGACTTATGGTCAGAGACCTCTTTGATAGCCTCAGAGGAGATGTTTTCAGCACTTCACAAGGCAGAGGGGCCAGAGGGGAGGTCAGGTTTAATGGCAAGAGGTAAAATATAGTGTGTTCGGTGGGGGCAGCTTCTTTTATTGTACCTGACTGAAAAAGTGTGTTATAGCACCCAATATTTTAGAATATTTATGTCCAGACATTAGTTCACCGTATGTTTCTATTTCATAGAAATCCTCCTACCCAAAACCCCCCACTTTGTTTCTTTTTTTAGGAACTTGTTCAGATTCTGACTGCCACTCAGATGCCACTTGTTCGGAGTTTGGAGGATACGGGGAGTGCACATGTAAAGAGGGATTTGCTGGAGATGGAACATCTTGTACTGATATAGATGAATGTCAGGATTATTACACCAACACTTGTTATTATTATGGTTATGGTACCTGTGTGAACACTGCCGGATCTTACACCTGTGATTGTCCTACTGGATTTCAGTATAAAAAGGAATATGGCTGTGTTGATATTGATGAGTGTGCGGACAGATCTCTGAATGACTGTCATCCAGTAGCTATATGTACAAATTATAATTATGGAACCTATGCCTGTACTTGTCCCTATGGATATTATGGAGATGGAAGACACTGTGAGATCAATGAATGCCAACAAGGATCACCATGTGGCTCTAATGAAGACTGCATTAAGAACGTTGGATCCTATTCCTGTATTGACCCTTGCTCCAACCACACCGAACTGAATGACCCCTGGCGCAGTACTTCTAATACGTATGTTTCTAGTAGCTACTGGGATTACTGGTATGACTGGTATCATTGTGACTATGGCATGTCTGGCTGGTATCGGTTTACTGGAACATATGACCAGAAAATCCCTGAGCACTGCGTACCACGATCCAGCTGTGGCACATATATCCCCATGTGGATGAACGGCTCCCACCCTACAGTCAGTGATGTCATTGTTAACCGTACAATGTGTTCCAACTGGTATGGCGGATGCTGTACACGACCTTATAGTATTTCTGTGAAAATGTGTCCAGGAGAATTTTATGTATATAAGCTGCAGAGTCCACCATACTGCAACTTCGCCTATTGTACAGGTAAGTACTGACACAAAGCGTAATTCAGTGTGTTGTCGTCATTTATAAAACAATATATACAATATACAGAATATACATACTATATCTCTCTCTATATAGTGTATATATAGGGTCTACAAAAAGTTTCCACACTTTTTTATATTTAAATATATATATATATATATATATATATTTTTATATATGTTGGGCCACCTGCCTTCATACGCACATGAACTTTAATGGCCCCCCAGTCTTAGTCCGTAGGGTTCAATATTGAGTTGGCCCCGCCCTTTGCAGCTATAACAGCTTCAACTCTTCTGGGAAGGCCGTCCACAAGGTTTAGGAGGGTGTCTATGGGAAGGTTGGACCATTCTTCCAGAAGCACATTGGTCAGGTCAGGCACTGATGTCGGGGGAGGAGGCCTGGCTCGCAGTCTCCGCTCTAATTCATCCCAAAGGTGTTCTATGGGGTTGAGGTCAGGACTCTGTGCAGGACAGTCAAGTTCCTCCACCCCAAACTGGCTCCTCCATGTCTTTATGGACCTTGCTTTGTGCACTGGTGTGCAGTCATGTTGGAACAGGGAAGGGCCATCCCCAAACTCCTCCCACAAAGTTGGGAGCATGAAATTGTCCAAAATGTCTTGGTATGCTGATGCTTAAGAGTTCCCTTCACTGGAACTAAGGGGCCAAGTCCAACCCCTGAAAAACAACCCCACCCCATAATCCTCCATCCACCAAACTTTATACTTGGCACAATGCATTCAGGCAAGTACCGTTCTACTGGCAACTGCCATACCCAGACACGTCCATTGGATTGCCAGACAGAGAAGCGTGATTCATCACTCCAGAGAACATGTCACTACTGCTTTAGAGTCCAGTGGCGGCATGATTTACACCACTGCATCTGACACTGTAAGACTTGGATGCAGCTGCTCGGCCATGGAAACCCATTCCATGAAGCTCTCTACGCACTGTTGTTGGGCTCATCTGAAGGCCACACCAAGTTTGGAGGTCTTTAGCTATTGACTCTGCAGACAGTTGGTGACTTCTACGCACTGTGCGCTTCAGCATGCGCTGACCCCGCCCTGTCATGTGACAAGGCCTACCACTTGGTGGCTGAGTTACTGGTGTTCCCAGTTGCTTCCACTTTGTTATAATCCCACTAACAGTGGAGCGTGGAATATTTAGTAGCCAGGAAATGTCACGGATGGACTTATTGCCCAGGTGGCCACCTATCACGGGACCACGCTTAGAGTCACTGAGCTCCTGAGAGCGACCCATTCTTTCACCAATGTTTGTAGAAGCCGTCTGCATGCCTAGGGGCTTGATTGTATACACCTGTGTCCATGGAGGGGATTGGAACACCTGAATCACATGATTTGGAGGGAGGGCCCAATATTTTTGTCAATATAGTGAATATATACACACACACATGTGATTCATTTGTGCTGTCTTTTCTTTTCATTTATAAAACATTCTTTGTGTCCCTTCTCTTCTAGAATCCAAATATAGCTGCTCAGGCGTGGACTGCGCTCCGGATGAGGAATGTAGAATTGAGGACGGGGTTCCTGGCTGTTACTGTAAAGCTGGAATACAACAAGAAAATCTAGCAGGTAAGTTATCAAACACGAAGATTTCTATTTATTGGAAACTATGAATGGAGCTCTCATAACTTTTCCAAGTGATCTACTTAACAGATACGATATTAAATATTTACTAAGAAATGTGCCCAGTGAATTTGGGGGACTATCTTCCCTTGTGGTAGTCTTTTGCATTTTTCTGGCATGTCATTCACCCCATGTCCCAGGAACAGTAAGCTGTCAAAACAGCTTTTAACCCTTTCACTGCCGGGTCCTTATGCTGTACGGACCAACAGCACTGCTTCCAGCTGGCCGGGACCGTACACCATACAAACCTGCATTCCTCCTCTTCTACTGAAGTGACCATGAACTTATACCAAAACTGTTCAGCAGACACCTTCGAGTAAAAGAATTGCTCTGATCAATGGATGACAATCCGCTGATCAGAGATATTCACCTAAAATGTGGCACCCCCCACCCTTTGCCCGTCACTGCTGCTGCTAATTCTCTGGGATTACACACACACACACACACACACACACACACATACACACACACTGTCACCTACAAGTCATTTGTGCTACATTCTTTTCCCCCTTCCCTACCTAACTAAACCCTGTGGCACCAATTCTCTCTACCCCCCTGCCTCCCCCTGCACCCCCACACTGATCCTGCCAACCGATTCTGCCCTACAGCTTAGGACTGGCTTTCCTCCTTTGCCCTCCTGCCGGCTTTATATGCTGCAGGGGAGCAGCAGAGGAAGAAAAAACTATTAAAAACCTTCTCCCCCACCACCTTTTTAACCCCCTCATGCAGGGTCCCCCCCTCACCGATTCGCTGGCAGTGCTGTCAGCAGGCTTTTCATCTCCCCCTCCTGACAGCTGCAACTGCTGCAGTAGAGGGAGATCACTGTCAGGATTAACATGTGTTTACCAGCCCCCTCCCTTTCCTTAATGATCGCTTCTGTGTTCACTGATCACTAACACATAGTAAACTTTGTTACTGTGTGTCAGTTTATGAATGAATAGTACTCTGCAGAGATCTCTATTCATTCATGTGCATTGCAGCTGAGGCTACAGAAAAAGAGACCGAACTCTATGTCTTCAGTCCCTTTCTCTGTCTCGAGAAGAGACATCAGGGGTCTATTTAGACCTCTGATATCTCACCAAAGCCCCCCCCCAAAAAATATTAAAAATAAAACTGTAAAATAAATAAACAAATAATACAAATAAATAAATTAATGCATTAAAAAAAATAAAAAGCAATATAGAGTGTCCTGGTTCACATTAGCCCGTGGCTGTGGGCTAGTTGTGGGTGCAGGAATTACGCCTGTTTCCACAGCCACCCACATCCACATCATGTTTCTCTTGCATTTGCCTCAGAGGCGTAGCTGGGGGGGGGCAGGGGGGTACATATGTACATGGGCTTCATCATCCCCTACAAGTAGTACAGTGTCACCATGTTGACACTGTACTGCTAGGGTGACAGTATGTAAAAAAAAAACATAAAAAATAATAATATAAAAATAAAATAAAAATGTAAAAAAAAATTTTAAAAAAAATATAATGTGTGATAGCGCAGAGAGCTGAACATTGGCCTGGGCAGGAAGGGGGTGAACGTGTCCGGACCGGATGAAGTGGTTACGGAGACACATTTTCCAGAGAGATCCATTTGGGACTCATCACAAATCCAGTGCCTTTCATCCAAGCCCTTTTCTAATATTTAAGGACAACAGGCAAAATTGATAGCTGGAGCGCTCCATATTCTGCTGGACTACTGACAAATTTTAAAAAAAAGATACAATTATTGTAGTTATAATATTTGTTTTTAATGTAAAAAATACAGTTAGCCCAAGATAGGAGCATTTTCGGCTCAGCCAGGCAATTGTATTTACAAGCAGGTTCAACGTTGAGATTATTGATGCTTGATAAGTGAATAGGTATGAGAGAAAACTATATAGTAGCCTGTCCTAGTCTGGTGTCTTTGGGGTGGGGTGGGGTGGGGTGGGGGGGGGGTAATTATGCATGCTTCTTAATTGACTGATAATTAAAAAAATGTTTTTTTAAATTAAACATGCTCAGACTTCTGGTTTAATATTGCAAACGTTCCACCTCTCGTCCTCATATCAGTTTACGTGCCTTTGTTGAGCCCCTTAGATTTTAGGTTCAAGCTGTACTAAGTACATTGCTTTCTATCCAAATCAGCATTAATCCATGCCCCCCTCTTTGTTCAAAGCCACTCCCCCAGCCAGGGGCGGACTGACAACTCATGGGGCCCCTGGGCAATAGGGGATCATGGGGCCCCTGTGTCCTTGCACAAACTCAAAATAGCCTATGAAAAAGGAACCAGGGGCATCTCATGGGGCCCCCTACTGACCCCGGGCCCTCGGGCAGTGCCTGAGTTTCCAAATGGTCAGTCCGCCCCTGCCCCCAGCCATTATTCTTCCAAATGCCAAATCCTTAGTGGACAATAAAAGGCTGTGGCTTTTTACACTTGAATAGCAGGGGGTGGGGCACGGCATTAAGAGGGACTGGAGCTCACTGGTGACCTGGGCAGAAGTCAGAAATTCAGGGTTTGGAGTCAAATTTAGGAATAAATGAATGTATTTCCACAGCCAGAGCCTGCACTTAAGCAGCAGAGTACCTGGTTCATTTTAATCTAAAAGCTTGTTTTTTGTATAAAAGATTAGCAATGTGCTTGTCCCTCTATCCCCAAATATATTGGTTATTATTCTCATGGTTGAATGGCACCATCTGCATGGCCTTCAGCTCTAAACAGGTTCTTTTAGAAGAAATCTCTATATAAAATAACCTTCCCCATTAAAAATCAGGTTTTGTGTTAATGGATACCAATATTCTTTGCAGTACTGGTCTCCTAGGAGGACATTTAATTAGATTCATACTTTGACATCCCATTTTCAGCATTCAATATGTTCCTACTTTCTACCTATGTAGATGGCCGAACACCACAAGTCACCTGTGGCCTGGAGAATATAGAAGTGAGATTCAGCAAATGTCTTCTGGAGCAGCTGGGCTATGACACCTCGTACTTTCATCTGAGAGACAATTACTGTCGAGGAATCACTGAAAGAAGCGATAAAGGTTACACCACTTTCATCACACGGCCAGCAAATGGTAGTTGTGGGGGATCCATTGGGGTACGTAGATGTCCTTTACCAAGTTATCTGGTTTTATATACTGTATATAAAAATACAACAATTCAAATGCGATGTTGTAACCGTCCAATCCAACATATATAAAGTTCTAATGTTGTGCCATCATCCAAAAATTTCCAAAATCATGCTTGAATTGTAGCCCCACTCCCTGTTCACCTTGACGTTTGACCTACACATCAGGGGCGCGAACTGACAGCTCATGGGGCCCCTGGGCAATAGAGGATCATGGGGCCCCTGTGTCCTTGCCCAAACTCAAAAAAACCTATGAAAAAGGTACCAGGGGCATCTCATGGGGCCCCCTACTGACCCCCGGCCCTCGGGCAGTGCCCGAGTTTCCAAATGGTCAGTCCGCCCCTGCTACACATTATAATAGGCCAAATGCACTTTTAGAAGGACTGTGTAGCCTTCAAATTTCTAATCCATGTGATATTCCTTCCATGTGCTATATCTTCATTGGACCTTCAGCTTCAAAACCATGCATGGAAAAGCAAAAATATATACTGTAGTGCAACGCCGGCTTTGAAAAAACTGTATATTATACACACTCACATTGAGAAAAAATGAAATGTGCTCCAAGATACAATAATCAAATGTTCGCATTTCTCCACCGAGCAAATGAATCCATAGTGTTTCCCATCACCAAATAAGTGTACCATATACTCAACTTCTTCCTTGATCCATAGGGTAGGGTACTGATCGACGTCTGCTGATCCACTGCTGGTCTTTCCTTCACTCTGGCCATTTAAGGGAATGGACTCCAGGATTCCCAAGGGGATGGTGTATGATCTGCCGGTCACCACCGTGGCCTGCACTGTTACCTCTCTCCACCTCTCGTGTCAGGAAGAGACGGCTCTTCTGTCCTGCCCATCTGTGACACCATTACGCTGATTTTATATAATAGATGTCCTGCTACACAGACCTTCTAATTCTAAAAATGAAGATATCACCCCGAAACACAGAAAATAAAAAGCATATTTTAATTGAACTGAATGTCCTATCCAGGAAATGGTTCCATTACCATTTTTTAATCCAAGGCGTCTCGCTCCTCATCACAATTGAAGGGTCATATCTTGCTTAGAAACAAATGCTCATTCTTGCACTGATTGTGAATGAAAACAAGGCCATCACCGTATTATTATATCAACTTCACTGAGTGCATTTAATGATTTGTACTCAATGAACAGCTCAGTGATAGAGAAGTCAGGTCATAAAAATGTGTTTTTTTTCCAGTGGACTCTGAGAAGATGACATGAGGACATGGAGTGACCCTGTTGCTATTCACACTACTAAGTGTATGGATGTTTCTTTCATGCAGGGGTGGACTGACAACGTATGGGGCCCCGGGCAATAGGGGATCATGGGGCCCCTGTGTCCTCTCCCACACTCAAACCACACCCAAAAAAGCATATGAAAGGTACCAGGGACATCTCATGGGGCCCCCTACTGACCACGGGCCCTCGGGCAGTGCCTGAGTTCCCCAATGGTCAGTCCGCCCCTGCTTTCATGTTACTTTTTGAATTGCTTCATGATTTTGTATAATGCAATTGCATAGTTTGCAAATGTCCTGTAGTGATCTGATAGCAGAAATCCACTAAGGAGGTCTTTAGATAAAGCAAGTAAACCCCGGGATATTCACCCATCATCCCTTCTTCCCATTCTCTGTCCAATTCAAAAGCCAAATCCTGGTGAATATTATTGTGATATTAAAATTCTCATTTGAGGAATCTGAATGTGCGGTGAGAAGGTTCGATGCTGAGTATCTTCTAGCAGGTTTGCCAATTTTCAAATAAGAATTAATAAAATGTTTTGTAAATCACAAATGTTTAGAACAGATCGGGGTCAGCAGCTGTAACAATGTAACTGAGCCCTGGATTCCCCCTTGAAGAACAGGAGACCCAAATGAGCAGTAAAAGGTGACTCAGTCCAGGTGTTGGATGATCTCTATGGTGGAGGATACAACAGGGACAGACAGAGAGCGATGAGTAAACCAATCATTGGTCACTTTATTGATATTCTGATATGTTTTGTTGCCTCACTTTGGCTAAGATGGCAGCTGACACCAAGTGGCAGGCTGCAGAGGAAAGATGATGGATACATGACTACCTGGAAATCACATACAATATGTCCCTCTTTACCTAAATGAAAATAAATATATTTTAGCCTGGATATTTGTTTTTAATTTTTTACTGTAAATGTTATTTTTCAGAACGATGGAACTGATATCACATATACAAACACCGTATACCTAACACCACAATCTGACGGAGTGATTATCAGAGATGAGTACCCCATTGACTTCCATTGCTCTTATCCAGTAAATATGGAGATCAGCCTTCTAACCGCTGTCAGCACCTACGTAGTGTGAGTCACTTTTCCTTGTTACCTTCCTAGATACAGGCGTAGTGCTGAATGAGCCGAGATCGCACTCAGATGTTGTAACTGTATAATTAGTGTCCAGTCTGTAGAAATGTAATTCCTATTTATATATAGCACCAACATATTCCAAAGTGCTGTATACATCAGGCTCCACTTTATACATCAGGATTACAGTCTACCCACCGGTCACATGGGAAGACATATACTGAATCTAGGGATGATGTGATAAAGTACAAACTGACTTGTTATTGAACATTGTAAAGCAGTTGGAAGGAACTGGTCCTGTCATATCAGTACATACAAACTCCATTTGGGCAGTGCCCCTGGTTTGTCACCAAACTGCCTTAGACTGGGAATCTGGAGATGTAGAATGAGCAGCAAATTGGTGCCAAGATAAAGATTAGACCACACACCCTGACTTACAATGTATTCAGTTCTCCATGTGGCTTGTGTCTTCTCAAGTCAGTGGTGCCTCCCGTAGACCAGACTAAGGTCTGTCATTTCTAGGCTCCTTACAACCAGAGATGTGAACAATCTGTTACTATCCAGGCTGCCCAGAACTTCATTGTAACTTTATTTTGCTCTAGTATCCCTTCACAAATTCAGCATTTTAATGAACCAGAGCATCAAAAACAAAAAAAGTAGAACCCATGAAATATATGTTTTTAAATGGTTTGCCTTTAATGCCCTATGTATATTTTAGTATTGCTTTGTTGTTCTTTAAGCCCTGACTATGAAGCATTCAATAGGTGCCCGACCCTGTCCTCTTCTAATGCAGACCATATTCATTCCTCCCGGCTTCTCCTCCACAGGCATGTGAAGGATGAGCTGAAGAATGAAGGGACTGTACAAATTCCTATGCTCACTGAGCACTTTATTAGGTCCACCTTGCTAGTACCAAGAGAATCCCCCCCCCCACCATGACACCACACCACCACCAGCCTGAACCATTGATAGAAGGCAGGATGGATCCCTCACACCATGACACCACCACCAGCCTGAACCGTTGATACAAGGCAGGAATGGATCCACCACACCATGACACCACCACCAGCCTGAACCATTGATAGAAGGCAGGATGGATCCCTCACACCATGACACCACCACCAGCCTGAACCGTTGATACAAGGCAGGATGGATCCACCACACCATGACACCACCACCAGCCTGAACCATTGATAAAAGGCAGGATGGATCCACCACACCATGACACCACCACCACTAGCCTGAACCACTGATACAAGGCAGGATGGATCCACCACACCATGACACCACCACCACCAGCCTGAACCACTGATACAAGGCAGGATGGATCCCCCACACCATGACACCACCACCACTAGCCTGAACCACTGATACAAGGCAGGATGGATCCCCCACACCATGACACCACCACCACCAGCCTGAACCACTGATACAAGGCAGGATGGATCCCCCACACCATGACACCACCACCGCCTAGCCTGAACCGCTGATACAAGGCAGGATGGGATCCCCCACACCATGACACCACCACCACCAGCCTGCCTGAACCACTGATACAAGGCAGGATGGATCCCCCACACCATGACACCACCACCACTAGCCTGAACCGCTGATACAAGGCAGGATGGATCCACCACACCATGACACCACCACCACCAGCCTGAACCATTGATACAAGGCAGGATGGATCCACCACACACCATGACACCACCACCACCAGCCTGAACCATTGATACAAGGCAGGATGGATCCACCACACCGCGACACCACCACCACCAGCCTGAACTATTGATACAAGGCAGGATGGATCCCCCACACCATGACACCATCACCACCACCACCTGACTGAACCATTGATACAAGGCAGGATGGATCCACCACACCATGACACCACCAGCCTGAACACCACTGATACAAGGCAGGATGGATCCATGCTTTCATGTTGATTATGTCAAATTCTGACCCTACCATCTGAATGTTGCAGCAACCAGTCTGCCCATTCTCCTCTGACACATCAACAAGGCATTTTCACCCACACAACTGCCACTCACTGGATATTTTCTCTTTTTTGGACCATTCTCTGTAAACTAGAGATGGTTGTGTGTGAAAATCCCAGTAGTGTTTTGAAAACTACAACCTCTACAACAACCAAATCACTGAAATCCCCTCTCTTCCCCATTCTGATGCCCAGTTTAAACTTCAGCAGGTTGTCTTCACCACTTCTAGATGCCTAAATGTATTGAGTTGCTGCCATGTGATTGGCTGATTAGCAGTTTGTGTTACCAAGCTATAGAACAGGTGGACCTAATAAAGTGGCCAGTGAGTGTATATTGCTCAGCATATATATGGTCCTTTGTGTAACTTGGGCTGTAGGCTGTTCTGCTCATGACCCCAGACCCTCTCCAACCAGAAAGAATCCTGCATACAAAATACACAAACAATTATAGCAGAAATAGCCCCTTGTGTAAATCTATGTCTAATATTGGTGTTATACGCAAATCAAATACTGTATGTATCCTAAATCAGAGAAGCTAGTTCTAGCTGAGAACAAAAATGAACACATCAGGGTTGATTGACTAAAGGCAAACAGACTGTGCACTTTGTAATTACAGTTGCTCCAAAGCTCAGCAAATGAAGGGACACTCTTGCTGACTCCCATCATCCAATCATGTACAAACAAAAAATGCTGTTTTTTTTTTTCTTTTCCTTGCATGTAATTGGGTATTCTTTGCAAAGTGAACCTCATTTACTAAGCTCTGGGGCAACTGCACTTGCAAAGTGCACAGTCTATTTGCCTTTACTAAATCCACCCAAACATGTCTTTTTATAATTCTTGGTTATTATTATATTAATGACTGTATTGTGTTACAGCTCGGCTATTATCAATGTCGCTGGAACAGCAAATTTTCACAATTACAATGGGCTTATTCCAAGATTCCAGCTACACCGCCCCATATACCGCCTCCCAGGTGTGGCTGGACACCTCCGCCATGCTATATGTTGGTGTCATTCTAACCGGAGCCACGGCTTCATCGCCATTTGTGCTCGTCATGAAAAACTGCTACGCCACCCCAACAGCTGACAGCTCCAATGGCCCCCGATATGATATCCTGATAAACCAGTAAGTTCATTACATGTGTTGTATATCATTTTTCTAAACATATATCAAGATGTGTAATTTTATCATTTTTTCTGTGTTGCTAATTAAACACAAAGTACTCAAACGGATCTGCAACAATGAAAACATGAATAAACCGTTGCATAAAAAAAAAACAAATAGAAAAAATGTCAGAAAACCCATATTCCTCAGATATAGAGTGATGGAGGATCACAGGACTCCAGTATCATTTTATTGGTGACATGATTGGTTGCTACTCCTTGGCCTTGATGTCATGAATACAATGGGAATAGTGCATGCAAAGTGAGCAACATCACAGAATCACCTGAGCTCAAAAGTAACTCCCACCGCTCCCAGTAGGCTAGATGTTAGTCTTGTATCTGAAGGAAATGCCTCGCCTTGCTGCCTTCTCAAGATTGGGGATATCTGTAAATACTGGACAAAAGCAGAAACAGAGGGCGCACCAGCCTAGTGCATTATCCTCAAAGATTTTCTTTATTATTAAAAAACATGGTAGGTATCACAAACCAGCAAATGTGTCTCAGCTTATCACATATACTGTACGATCCAGCTCCTGGGACATGACAACTGGTGGTACAGATGTGAAGAACCCACTGGCTGATGTGTTTCGAGGCCTTGCCTCTTCCTCAGAGCCATGCGCTCCCTACCAGGGTGGCCATATTTGTATGTCATGCAACACTGTACCAACATGACATTTTGATCAGGTTTTTTTTTAGACAGATAGATCTTTCTTTTGTTGGTATTTAATCACCATTTCAAGGTATTTAGTAAAAGGCATGGGGAGATTTCTATTTTTTTGTCACAATTTTTTGAAAAATTAAAAAATGTAATATTTTTTTCACACACAACATAGGCTTATTCTTCTAGGTCTCCTAAATATGGGGATTCCACATGTGTAAGACTTTTTCACAGCCTAGATGCATAGAGGGGTCCAAAGTCCAAGGAACACCTTTGGGAATTCAAGGAGCATAAATTACCTTGACTACCTATCACATTTTT